CCAGCCCCTGCAGAACCGTCCAGCTCCAACCGAGGAAATTTATCGAACCGGAGTGGGCGGACCGCACCTGCAGGGAATTCGACGGCCGGATGAAGGCGCTGCCGCCGCATTCGACTTCTGCTTGGCCTAGCTCCTGCCGATGCCTGCGAGTCCCGGTCGCGTTTGTTCGAAGCAGGCACGAGTAGCTTCCCCGCCTGGTCGAGAATTTCGTTGGTCTCGGAAGAGAACAGCAGAACAGGCGGAGCGACTTCTTCGATCCTTACCAGACTCGGGGCATTACGGACTGCAACCGAGGATTTTATCATCCGATGTAGCAGGCTGTTGAGTCTCGGTCGGCGAAAGCGGAACGTTCTCTCGTTCCTCTAGGGCCTGCTCCATCCCGGTCCGTGCTCTTCCTGGTCCTCCGCGAAGATCGGCCGTCCATCTCTCTCATCCACACTGTCAGGATCCGTGTCGGGCTCTTCCTGGTCGCGAACCGCAGGCAGTGTGCGCCGACCGCGCGTCCCGGGACAATACGCAATCTGATGGGTCGGGCGGGTCAGCGACCAGTGCTCGTTCCGGTGGAAGTATTGGCGACGACTTGCCGGGACGACAGTGCCCGGGATCACGCTGTAGCCGTGGTCCGTTTCCAGGCGCCGAACATAATCGTAATTTTGGTGAGTATGAACCCATGTCCTGAGGCAGTGCCGCAACCATCTCCTGACCAGCTCCGGTTGACACATGACCCAGCATCTGCGAGCACGACGGCAAGTGGTCCGAAAATTGCAAAGGCAGACCACGGTCAGCAGCTCGTGAGTCGTGTGAAGCCAAAAGCGACCATGATTCAAATCCACCAGATACCGTAGGAACGTTGCACCTTTTTGTGGGTTCATGTCATGCCGGTCAAGGCGGATTCGCCGTCGCACTGGTTGCCACGGGAGCTGCGGCCTCCCAGCGGGACGACGAAAAACAGTATTCAGCACATGATCGATCAAAATGGGTCGCTTCCGCGGCGAGCATGGCTGCTGGGTTTCCACGACTCGTCTCGTGCCCTCGTCCTCCCAGCCGGACAAAACGTAACCATTCACGGGTGTTCTGCTTCTGGAATATTGACGCCACCGTGGCGGCGGCGTCAAGGACGAAGTGCTCCGGCGACGGCCCCTTGGCATGGTGAATGTTGCCGTGCGCAAAACTGTCCAGCCCCCTGGCACTGGTGCTACTAACTGGCCCCATCAACAACTGAGCTGCTACCAAAGGATTCTTTCAGGTTCCAGTTCCCTACACTTCTCGGCAAGTGCTCGGTGATCTACGAAGCTATTCTTCCTTTCACATACTAGCTCGGCTTGGCCTGGCCATGGAGCCGAGACCCTGCGACGGGCGCAGTAGAATTGCAGTTCCCGGCAAGGTGATGGGTAGCACGTCTAAGTCGCGGACAGGCAACCACGTCTCTCGAATAAGGCGCGGGCCGCAGAACGGAAGCTCCTTGAAGGGGTCCGCGTCTGCGTCGGGAAGCCGTCTTGCAAATCCTAGGAACACCGCAAGAAATATCTCCGACTGACTCGCCGCCCGTCCGGACGAGAGCCTAGGTCGGCCCGGCTGCGTGGCATGCGGTCGTTGTCGCCTCAGACAGCACAAGCCGCGGGAGCGGAGCAAGTTGGTTGTTCGCTGTCACACTCCGGGAGCTTTGTCGTCATGGAAGCAGCACTACGATGCCGAACCCAAGGACATTTTTTTCCAGCCTTCTCGGTCCACGACGCTGGGCACCTACTTCGCGGACAGGCCAGCACGTCCCTTGTGACACTGCAGCAACCAAGAAAGCTTCCTTTTCAGGAACAGCTGTGCCGCATATGCAGATTTCCTCTGCCGGGAAGGTGCGAGGTGTCTCTCTTCCAGCCTCTTTTGTATTCTTCATCCCACGGGGCCGGGCCTTCCCAGCCGACCCAAGCAAGGTTTTCGCTTCGGCTGCTCTCTCGCAGCTCCCAGTCCAGGGAGCTGCGAGATTGTCTGTCGAATAAGTTAGAGATACTGACCTCGGGGAGCCAAGAGCCTCTGCAGAGTTTTTGATCCTCCACTAACTGCGGCCATTCATCTCTTTCGTCCACACTGTCGGGATCTGTGTCCGGCTCACGTTCCGTGTCCGGGAGAAGCACGCGGCGACCGCGCGTTCCGGGACAATACCCAATTGTGTAGGTCGGACGGGTCAGGGACCAGTGCTCGTTCTGGTGAAAATAGCATCGGCGACACGCCGGGATGACGTATTGAGCGAAGTCCGGCCCGTACTCCTGTGCCTCCTCCCACAGGTTGTCCTGGAGCACCAGAAAGCTGTGCTGCTTTTCCATGTTTTTAACCCACCAGAGATTCACGTCGGTGTGCACGTACGTCCTGAGGCAGTGTCGCAACCATCTCCTCACCAGTTCTGGCTCGCTCATGACCCAGTATCTGTAGGCGCGACGGCAAGAGGAGCGAAAATTGCGGAGGCCATCCGCAGACAAGAAGTCGTGCGTGGCACGCAACCACAAGAAGCGTTGGGACACGAATTTGTGAATTGTCCACGCAGCCAACTGTTGGTCGATGTGACAGCACTCAGCGCGGATATATCGCGCCGGCCACCAGGGTTGCCCACCTGCATACGGTGGCTGCTCGGGAACGCCAAAAAGTTGCAGGGGACGGTCGATCAATATGGGACGTTCCCGCGCCGATAGCGGCCGGGCTTCCCTCCCGACCTCGTTATGCCATCCGGACAGAACGTGGCCGTTGATGTCCCCCCTGGCCGCACGGCGTCTGGAGGGCGCGAATCGGGTCGAGCCCGATCGATCGGAAGAACCACGGTTCGGCGACGTCGCTGGGCTGCTTCTCGCCGAGCTGGGCGGGCTACTGCCAGCAATGTGGCGCAGCTGCCGATTCGGCAGCGGCGGCGGCGGAGGCGAACCGCCTCGCCTCCTTGGCATAAAAAAAAATGCTGCTACCCGAAAGGCTTGTTGGTCGCCGAAGTAGTATGTACCGCAGGTGCTTTTCCTGTGCTCACTGAGTGACCAAGTAATTCATTTTGGCGAACTCGGCTTGGTCTGGCTAGAGAGCCGAGACCTTGCGATGGGTGCAGCAGTGCTGCGACTCCTGCCCAGGTCGTGTGTAGGACACCTAGCTCAAACACCGGCCAGTCCGTCTGTCGCAACAAGGTACCGACAGCAACAGCTTGTTTCTGGAAGAACGGGCCGGGTCAACCTGCGGAATTCCACACGCAGCTCGAGGTCTCCCTCGCTCTCCACACGCAGCTCGAGGTCTCTCTCTCTCTCTCTCTCTCTCTCTCTCTCTCTCTCTCTCTCTCTCTCTCTCTCTCTCTCTCTCTCTCTCTCTCTCTCTCTCTCTCTCTCTCTCTCTCTCTTCCAGCCTCTTGCGAATCTCGACGTCCGACCATGTCCGACCGAGGAACTTGCACGAAGCAATCTTCGCTGGCAAACGCACCTGCAGGGATTCGAGGCTTCCAGCTCTTGCGAAGCCGATACAAACGCGGCAGAAGTCCAGCTGCATCTCTTCTTCTGCCTTGCACCGTGCAACGGAGGCCTTTTGCCTGTAAAAGTCCGGGAACAAAGCACGGCGAGGTGCACTCGAGCATTCAGGAGTCCATGGGTCTGACGTCGGACGAGCGATGTCTCCTTCTGGCCGCTTGAGCACGCGCCGCCTCCACACGCAAGAGGAGTGCAGGCTCCACGGAACAATTGCGGGCCTTCAACGCCGTCCTCTGCGCCTGGGCCACCATTCGAACGGCTTGCCTGCCGCGCCCCTCCGCACTGGCTTGCTGCGCTCGCAGTCTCTCGTTGACGGCTTCCAGCCGAGCCTGAATCTCGTCTTCCGATGGACACCGACTAGGCGGCGCCGCCGCTGCGGAGCCCGCTGGCGACGAGGGGGCGGAACCCACGGAGCGAGCTCGCGACCGAGCGTCGGAAGTTTTCCGCGAAAAGAACACCGGCAGCGAGCTTTCCTTCTGAAATGCTTGCTGGTCACAGCGCCGCTCTAACGTCCCCAATCGAGCTTCCCGTCTCTCCAAGCCGGCCCGGACCAGGTCCACTTTAGCCTCGCAGTCCGCGGCGGTCCGCTGTAGCTCAGCCAGGAATGCCTCGCACTTGGCCACGTTTTCCGCGTACAATTTTTTTCAGAGCCTGCTCCGCGGCCACCATCTGTCCGCGTAGGTCGTCCATCTGACGAGCCACCTCGCCTCGGTGGTGCTGCTGCATTCGAGCCCACCACTGCTGCGCCGCATCGTCCATGGTACCTCTGACAGCTTCGGTGATGCGATCTTCGAGATGCTCCAAAGACTGCAAACGATCGTCGTGGCGTCGAAATGCTTCACGATTGGACCTGCGAGTTTCGTTCAGGAGAGTTTGCACGATCTCGACTTTCCTGGCCAGGTCCTCCGGCCGCAACGCGCGTTGGACCATGGCGTCTGGAGACACGTTGCACTTCAACGGCGGTGACAATGGTCCGCGCGCTTCGACGCTGGTGTGACTCCGTGTTGATCTCTTTTGCAATTTCGGCTTGGTCTGGCTAGAGAGCCGAGACCCTGCGAAACTTTCGCGCTGCCCACGAATGCTTCACGACAACAGAATCTAAAGAGTCCGTGGCTCCCCCGCCTATCCGAGTTCGTGTCTCGTCAATTCAGGGACGGAGTTTGACCTCCGAGAAGCAGAAATCGGAACTGGAGGCATAATGCGCTTAAAGCCTCAGGGATTCGGACTCCAAATCGTAGGCGCCTCGGCTCTGGCTTCCCATGCAAAGAAGAACGGACGCAGCTTCGAGACGACCGTGCTGCCCGAAAGCGAACACCGCTGGCGCTCGGACGGAACGTTCGGGCGGCCCTCCGTCCTGCCGCACAAACTCGGCTTGGGCTTGCACAGAAATTGAGGTTCAACTCGTGGGGTCGGTGTCCTTGTTCAGATAGAGCGCATGTCGAAGGGGTCTCCTGGCATCGTGCTCGCCGGAAGCGGTCCAGCCCTCCTGGCATCGGCTAGTGGAGAGCCTAGCTGTTACAAAAACTCCCAAGCCCCCCGCTGGCCCTCCTCGCCCGTGGCTTCCGCTCCAGCTCCGCCTGATTCTCCTGCGGCAACGGCAGGCCGGCCTGCACTCGAAAGGCCGTCGGGCCTCGGTGGCGTGCAGCTGGTGTCGGACCTTACCAGGTTCGTAATCAGGTCAGTCAATACTATGGACAGCACCTCACCGAGAGGAAAGCGAAGGAGGAGAGGAACCGGGAGCCGGGAGACGGTCGCCGGGCCTCGACGCTCTTCCTCGTGGTTTTCGGGTTTCAAAGGTTTTTTTTTCGTTAAGTTTCCAGATTTACGGCTTCGAGCTTCTTTTCGGGTGGATGTTTGGCTTGGAGGGTTTTAGGTCCGGGCCTTGGGCTTCTAAAAGTAAGAGTACATCGGCTTTGGGACTTTCGGCCTCGGGAACCCGAAGACTTAAGAAAGAATGCAGCATCGGCATTGGCATCTTCTGGTCATGCGGCCAGCTCAAGCTCGGCTGTACATGAGGAGGCCGACAAAAGAGCTGGACGGCTACATGCGACGAGCCGTAACCACAAGTCTTAGAGCCGCAACCACGTCTTGCTTCTATAAATAATTCCAATACAAGTACACTGTCTATTGAACTCGTACCCTGTCTGTATAGGCATCATCCTTCCGTGGGTTCCTGCAACTTCGATCCTAAGCAAAGAGCTCTTCGATCGCTGCCTGGAAGGCTGACCCATCTCCCATCCGTTGTGCCAGCCCGCGTTAAGATCAGCGCAAACCATTGGAGAGACTGTTCCAGCTTCACGGGGTGAAACTGGGTGAAACGGAGAGAGAGGCGTGCGGCTTCGGCGCGGCCCGGCCAACCGGGTGGCCACCCGCGCGAAGAAGAACAGACGCAGCTTCGAGGCGACCCTGCTAACCGAAAGCAAACATGACTGGCGCTCGGATAGAACGTCTGGGCCGCCCTCCGTCCTGCTGCACGAGCTCGGCTTGGCCAGGAAGCCGAGACCCCCCTATTCTCCTGCGGAACCTCGCGGCATCGGCTGGTGGAGAACCTAGCTGTTACGAAAACTCCCAAGCCCTCCGTTGGCCCTCCTCGCCTGTGGCTTCCGCTCCAGCTCCGTCTGATTCTCCTGCGGCAACGGCAGGCCGGCTTGCACTCGAAAGGCCGTCGGGCCTCGGTGGCGCGCAGCTGGTGTCTGACCTCACCAGGTTCGTAATCAGCTCGGTCAAGAAGATTGACAGCACCTCACCGACAGGAAAGCGAAGGAGGAGAGGAGCCGGGAGCCGGGAGACGGTCGCCGGGCCTCGACGCTCTTCTTCGGGGTTTTCGGGCTTCCGAGGTTTATATTTTTTCTGTTGGGTTTCCGGATTTGGGGGTTTAAGGTTCTTTTCGGGCGGATGTTCGGGTTGGAGGGTTTTGGGCACGGGTCTTGGGTTTCTGGGGGTAAGAGTACATCGGCTTCGGGACCTTTGGGCTCAGGAGGTTCACACCACATGCTCCTCTCTCGGAGCCTTGAAGTCTGGCGGGGCTCGACTTTGGAAGGGTCTCGCCTCGGTTTTTTAGCTGGTTTCTACTGAAAAGAAGTGTCACAAACAGCCTTGCGCCCCCCGAGAAGCCTCCGTTTACCTCAAGCCGCAAAAAACATCTAAATACGGTCCTGAATGCTGGACTTCCCAAGTCCCAAACCCGAAGACTGAAGAAAGAATGCGGCATTGACATTTTGGCACTTTCAGATCGTGCGGCCACCTCAAGCTCGGCTGTGCGCGAGGAGGCTGACAGGAGCTGGACGGCTACACGAGACGAGCCGTAACCGCAGTTCTTACGGCTGCAACCACGTCTTGCTTCAATAAATAATTCCAATACAAGGACACCGTCCCTCGAACTCGTACCCTGTCTACACAGGCGTCATCCTTCCATGGGTTCCTGCAACTTGAATCGTAAGCAAAGAGCTCTTCGATCGCAGGCTGGCATGAAATTGAGAAGGCTGACCCATCTCCTGTCCGTTGTGCCGGCCCGCGTTAAGATCAGCGCAAACCGTGGGAGAGACTGTTTCACCCAGCTTCACCGGGTGAAACTGGGTGAAACAGAGAGAGAGGTGTGCGGCTTCGGCGCGGCCCGGCCAACCGGGTGGCCACGCGCCTCTGCCCGGGAGCGGCCCCGTCCCGCAAGGGGGCCCGGCTCCGGGGCAGAGGCGGATGGCGACCCGGTTTGCGGGGTCTCGCCGCAGCCGCACACCTCTCTCATTTTTCTCTCCATGGTTTGCGCTGATCTTAACAGGTAAAGGTAATTCTCCAGATCTTTCTGGACCTGCTTCTCGTGCGTATCGATAACCGACAAGCACGAGAGCCAGGCCCAGAAAGATCGGAAGAATGTACCTTTACCTGTATCCTATGCTTGGGCGTCGAGGCCATCGCCATCGAAGGCTATGGCCGCGGTGGCACGACCATCGTAAAACGTTGCTTGCACGTTTCTAGCACATCGTCAAAGCTGCCACGAGTCAATGTCAAGTGCTTTGGCGAAGCCGCACCGAACACGTTCTCGAAGCCCGTCGAGAAACTTTCTTCGAGAAAGTGCAGCCGCAAGGGAATCCCGTCGTATGGTTTTTTCTTGCAGCATGTCCAGGAGCACTTGCACGTTCGTGTCGACGCCTCGCACGGACGATTGCTGGCCGTGCCCCGAAATTTTACAGAAGCCGTGCCGCATCGTCCGTGGTACGTCTGACAGCATCGGCGACGCGATCTTCGAGATGTTCCAAAGACTGCAAAGAATTGTCGTGGCGTGGAAAACGGACCTGCGAGTTTCCTTGAGGAGCGTCTGCATGATCTCAACCTTCCTCGCCAGCTCCTCCGGCCGCAACGCGCGTCGGACCATCGCGTCCGGACGCGCCTTGCACTTCGATGCGAGCGAAAATGGTGTGCATGCTTCGAAGCTTGCGTGAGTCTGTGTTGTTGTCGTGTACTATTTCGGTTTGATCTGGCTAGAGAGCCGAGACCCTGCGAAACTCTCGCGCTGCTGCCCAGGAATGCTGCACGACAACAGAAACAAGCGGGTCAGCGGTTCCCCGCCTCCTACCTCTGCAAGTCAGGGACGGAGCTCGACCTCCGAGAAACAGAAATCTGAATTGGAGGCAGAATGCACCTAAAACCTCAGGGATTCGGACTCGAAATTGCAGGCGCTTCAGCTCTGGCCTCCTCACGTGCAAAGACGAACAAACGGAGCCTCGAGACGACCGTGCTGACCGAAAGCGAGCACGACTGGCGCTCGGATCGAACGTCCGGGCGGCCCGTCCGTCCTGCTGCACGAACTCGGCTTGGTCTGGCCAGGAAGCCGAGACCCGGCCATTCTCCTGCAGCGGCTTGCACAGGGGTTCAGGTTGAAGGCGCGAGGTCGGTGTCCTTGTTCAGATAAAGCGCATCAGGGGCAGTTGCATTCGCCTCCTGAGATTCAGGGTCAGTATGTCGCCTGCCGATAACACCAGTCCCAGCTTCCGGCGCATCAGGACACTCAGGAAGCGGCTTTGATGCGAACACCAGAATCGTTGCAAACGATGTCGCGTCAGGGGCGCCCTGGCCCTGTTGTGCAAACCTCAAGGTTTTGACCCACTGCCCTGTCAGAATCGCACAACAGAAGCGGGACTGCGGAAATCAGTACCAAGCTCGCAAAGTCGATCGAGTCCAATGCACTGCTCTTATCCCGAGACCCAGACGGCGCCAGCCGAGAAAGACGTAGATGAGGATCGGGAGCAGCTCGATAGCTAATAGCTTCATAGATGGACAAATAGATAGATCAGACCTTGGAGGTTTCTCCTTCGGAGCGAAGCCTCGTGGGGTTGCCAGGGAACTGCCGAGGTAACAGGAAAGCCAGTGCTGCGGGATATGTCCCGCTGTGCTTCCGGGAGATGTACAGCGCAATCGACCGAGTTTCTGTGTCCTGCGAACACCCACCGACCTCGGCGAGAAGACCGAAGTCAGCCACATGCAGCGACAGGTACGCTGAGACGGAGATGCTAGAAGCGCAAGAAACGCGCTCTCGACTTTTTGCACCCGCCGACATCAGCGATCTTGCCGCGGTCGCGGCGCCTTGCTGGCCAGGTGTGGGTCTTCTCAGTCAAGCCGAGGACTCGAGACCAGGGCGAGCCTGAGAAAACGCTCGCTTCCGCGGTGCGTCCTCGGTATCGTCTTCGACAACAGCAGTCGGATTCGATTCGGCGACCTTGCCCCTTTCGACGCTGGATGCTGCTGATTTGCAAGGGCCACGGCCGGAGGAATTGGCTTTCTTGTCGAGCATCTCCGTTGGCTTCGTGTTGCCCTTCCTGTGGCCTCGTTCCGAACGCTCGCGATGGATCGCCATGTTCGACTTGTCGCATTTCCCCACTGACGCGCAGAGATGCTCGCAGCAGCCCCAGAAAAAGAAGTGCTTGCACTGGCAAATA